ATTTGAAAAGACACTGCTCATCTGACCCGTGCATACATCCCATGCTCTACTCCGGCTGACTCAGACTCACACTTCTCCCTTGGTTGCTGTGTCCATCAGTAGTCTTTGCCCATGTTTGGGATGCAGCGAATACTATGGCATCCCCTGCTTCTGGGTATCAGAACTTGGCCCTCTAATTCTAGGCTGCTTTTGCCTTGTTTCTATTGCTTTTAAAGAAACATGAGTCAAAAGCTTAAGATTTGGTGGGATCTAGGGTCCAGAGCCCGAAAAACACATTGAAATAGAATGTCACCAGGTTTACAAAGAGAATGGCTGGAATATAATATGTACGCAATAAATGTCATTGAATGTATGATTAAGCATGGCTTCTCTAGGATTTCTGGGGAAAAGATCTCTGCTTCTGTTAGATGAAGGGGTTGATTTGGCAGTACGTGTTGTGTTCTGGATTCACAAGCACCTATTACACAAAGAGAAAAGGTAAGTTCCATTTCTAGGTGGGTTTTCCTGGGCTACTTGCTGTAGGAACCCAAACTTTCTGGCATTCTCCTTCCTCATTCTTGAAAATTCTGAATGTCTTCCTCCTTTCTCATTGTATGTCAGTCATGCTGGCACCTCTCCATTCCTGGAATGGTGCATGCTTCCCCACTGTGGAGGACAGACTCTAAGGTGACCCCCATTATACTCACCTTCTGGTATTCATGCCCTTACGTAATCTTCCCCTTGAAGGCAAGACCTGTGACTTGCATCTACCCATTGGAATACAGCAAAGGTGACAGGATGTACATGCTTACATGTATGTGATTCTGTTCTATAAGAGCATGACATGTGTCATGGCTTTGAAGAAGCAAGATGCAATGTTGTGAGCTGCCTACGGAGAGGGCTACTTGGCAAAGTGCAGCCTCCAGCTGACAGCCAGTAAGAAACTGAGGCCCTCTTTATGACAGCCTGCAAGGAACTGAATGCTTCCAATAACCATATGAGCTTGGATGTGGATCCTTCCCCAGTCAAGCCTCAGATGAGACCTGAGACTTCGCCAACACCTTTATTTCAGCCTTGCAGAAGACCCATCTAAGCAGTGCCTAGACTCCTGACCCCGGAAACTGTGATATAATAAATGTGTGTTATTTTAAGCCACTAAGTCTGTGGTAATCTGTTATACAGCAACAGATAACAAAGACATTCACTTCAGGTCCTTTTCACCTGATGCCCCTCGACTCAGAATGTTCTACTCCAGACGCTTTGCATTGTTTGCTCCTTCTCATCCCTTCAGAATGTAGCAGACACTGAGGGGGCTGACCTGACACTCTTCCCCATATCTTCTCCCTTGCCTGCTTCTATTGAAGAGACTGGGAAGGATAACATCTCATTTTCTCAGCCTTCCTTGCAAGAATAAATACCATGTGACAGCATTCTGACCCAAGGAGATACAAGAGGAAGTGCACTGGGTGAGATTTCCAGGAAGAGCTTTTGTTCTACTGATAAAAGGAAACAAATGCGACTCCTTTCCCCAGACCCTGATGAAGAGAGGGACCTAGAAGGCTATGTTTGTACCAGTTCACAGCTAATCGGAGAGCTGACAACTGTCAGCACAATCCATCCAACGGCTGGAGTAAGTGTGCTTCTCCTCTGAAAAATGTGAACCTAGAAAACTTTAAGTAGTAGTAGAGGATGTTGTCATATATAATCTGAAGTTATAGAGGAGTAGTGACCAGGAAGCTTGCATAGGAATTAAATCTGGACCAAAGACAATGGAACAAATTCATTGATCAGCAAAAATGAGCAACCATAAGAGAGAGAAACTTCCTGATTCCAGTCCCCATGAGGCCCACAAGTAATTTCTGACATTGAATTATCTGAGATTCCCCACTGTTCTCTCAATTAATCCACACTTTAATTAATCCGAACTACTTTCAAGGGGTTTGTCTTTCTTATTTAAAAAAACCCTAAGACATATAGACATTCACATCTTTTGACAATGGTTCATCTGACAGGTAATGGAGCAGAATGGAATGTGATACAACAGAGTGAGATGGATTAAAGAGGAATGAACAAGAAATAGAAGGGTGGGGGTGGATTGGGAGTTTGGGATTAGCTGATGCAAACTATTATATATATGTATAACTGAAGCACTTTGCTGTACACCAGAAACTAACACAACATTGTAAATCAACTATACTTCAGTAGGATAATTTTTTCTAAAAAGTAGAAATAGAAGGGAAGAGAGTGCAATGAAAGGAAATATAAAACAGTGAAACAGAACTGAATGGAAAGGGAAGGGATGAGGAAGGGGAAATGAAAAGATGAGAAAGAAGGAAATGGAAAGAAAATGAAGTGAATGGAAAAGAAATATACAGAATGAGAAGAAATGGAACGTGGTGGGATGAGACAAAAGCCAATCAAATGGAAATGCAAAATGGAAATAAGTAGGGTACTGACTAGAAAGGAGTGGAATAGTAGGAAATAGAATGAATGGAGTGGATTAAATATGTGGCTGGAAAGAACAGGAATGAAATGGGACGGGAAGGGAAAGAATGGAAATGAAATAGAGTGATGGTATGGAAATGGAAAGTGATAGGAATAAAATAGACAGTAATGGAATGTGGAAGAAATGAATGGGGTGGGATTACAAGGAAAAAATAGAAATGAATAAAATGTAATAGGGAGGAGTGGGATGGAATGTAAAGGAATGGCATTGAGTGGGGTGGGTGGGAAGTGATGACAAGGAATGGAATGGGAAGAAATAAGAGGAATAAAAGAAATGAAAAGGAAATAAGAGGAATTTTATGGAAAGACATGGAGTGGGGAGGAGTGGAGTGGAATGGAATGGAAAAATAAAACTAACTGGAATGGAGAGGAAATAGCTGGAATTGAGAAGGAAATGAAGTTAAATGGATAGAAAGGAAATGGATGGAGTGAAAATAAATATAATGGAAATGTGGGATGGAGTAAAATGCAGTGGATTGGAAGGGAATGGAAGGAAATGAACCAGAAAGTGATAGGATGGAAATGGGTGGAATGGGATTGAAAAGATTTTTGAAAGGAAATCTCTTGATAGTTTATCCTACAGATTCTTTAGCAAGAAGGAAAAAGCAGATTAGCGGCAGCTCTCCAACTGTCCAAAGACTCAGTGTGGCATAAAAGTACCTCATATTTTGACTCTGTTTTCTTTTGGTAGAGTTGGGACCAAGGGATGCAACGCAAGCTTGGGCGATGGCTTCCTGGAGCCATGAGAATAGTCCCCATGGATTGTGGAAGGTGATTCCTTCTTGAAGTGAACAAAGAGATCAGTTAGGGACCACAGGTACCGTTTGCCGTAGAATCACAGCAACTGGAAAGTGCTAACTTTCACCCTTCAGAGATCCAGAGACAAAGAGATTTGACCCGGTTCTTACAAAGGATCAGAAGCAGAAATAGGTTTAGGACCCAGGGCCCTACCCCTGGCCCAGAACTCTTCCTTCTCACCTGGCTACCTCTGCAATCTCTCCTCCAAAACTTAGTTTGCACCCCATCACTTGTTAGGTCAGTGCCACTTCATTTGCAATCTGATTCCAAGCACTGGAAGTGGGGGCAGCACAGTATAGGAACCAGAGTCCTAGAATCTGACCCAGCTCCCTGTGAGGCTTTGAGCCACTTTCACCTCATTCCTGGCCCTGCAATGTTCAGTGAAGGATCTAGACAAGATGACTTCTCAGACTTGTCAAATATAACATTCTCAGACTGTATTCCCTTGTGGCTTCCTTAATAACATCAAGCTGGGCCAACCTACCTCATAGAACTGCTCTGGAGGGTCTAGTGGCAGCATCTGGGGGAAAAGAAAGTAGTGACGAGGTCGTGGGGCTCGGGATAAAGGCCACCCCTGGAAGTTCTTGGAAATAGCTTAGGCCTCAGAGGCAGTTACATCCCTTCTGATTCCCAGAGTGGGTCCAGGTTAGGCATTGTCATGTTGAAGAGAAAGAAGACAAGGAGAAGAGATGAAAAAGCCGTGGAAGGTCTTGAGCTCCCCAGAGAAAGCAGAGGAGGAGATGCAGAGAGACCCAAACTGCCACTGGGCATCCTCAAGGGCATATGCCTGAACCCCACCCAACCCCAAGACGTAGGACTGTAACAGCCCTACTGGGCTGGGAAAGGGCCCGACAGTCGGGGGAACAGAAGGGGTCCCTCTGGAGCATTACCCACCTTTTTGACTTGGATTTGGCCTTGAGTGTCAGGTACATTGGCATACATAGGCATGCACCAGTCTAGGGAAAGTGAATGCCAGCCCAGGGCTGGAGTTAGGAAGAGATAGGAGGGAAGGGGCAATTTGCCCAGGTCACTTCTATGCCCAGGAAGGATGTGGCAGAAACCTTCCTTCCTTTCTCCCCATCTCATCTCCAGTGATCTTAACCCAGGAATGTCCTGGAAATCAAGTTCTGGGTTAGATAAGCCTGTTTGATGACACAGATGAGGACAGAAGTCTAAGACTTAGCCCCAGTTGTACCAGGGTCCTCTTTAGCCTGGGTTTATCGTATATCCTCCCTGGTCTTGGTTTTCTTCTCTGTAAAACTGAGCTGAATTGGAGAGTCTCCAGGGGACGTCCACTTCATGAGCCCAGCATACCAGAATCGTAGGCCAGACATGACAAAGATGTTTCATTTTGCCTTTGGTCAATTCCCATCCATTAGCAGAGGGTGACAGAGGCACTGTGTTGACATGGACTTTGAGACTGGTTTTGAGTATAGCGGGGAGGAGTACTGTGATTGATTCTCTCAGTTTATAGCACTCAATTAACAAAGTTTTCTGAGAGTGGGGAAGAAAAGGATGGCAGCACGTTGCCGTATTTGTGTTATGGCTGTTGGAACCAATCTCATCCATTTTCCAGATGGGGACCCGGAGACTCTAAGAGTACAGGGCTTGCCCATGATGTCAGAGTGACTTGGGGGTAAGCTGGGGGCAGAGGCCTGGGCTCTCTGCACCAGCCTCTTCTCCAGACCTCACTGCTGCCCTGGGCATCAGCTATGGAGTCACTTACTGCGACCGGGCTCCACAAGGTGATGCTCTTCAGGGGTGGGTGTCGTGACCTCATAGATGGGTTCCTCTGTTGTTCTCCTTGAGGGCCTGAAAACCCAAGACCCTCGTTCTTCTGTGCCTCTAGTCCTTGCCCATCTGCACAGGCTCCACCTATATCCCCATGTACATTTTGGGCAATGTGCCAAACCTTCTCAATTCCCCACGTGCCATGGATGCCGCTCAGCACCAAGGTCAGCAACACTTCTGCCAGTCAGGTCCCATGTGGGCCACACCCCCTATCCCATTCCCAGGTTTACCCTTTGGCATTTCTGATGCAGAGGAAACAGCCCAGCCCTGTGGCCAGAGCAATGACAGCCTGGATCCTGATGATAATGCCAGCGATGGCCCCTTCAGAGAGGGATGACCCAGAACCTGGGCAAGGAGAGAGAATCAGGACCTGGGCATGACACACCCTCATCCCTGTCCCCAGCCCCATTCCCAAGTTTGTGGCTTTATCTCCACTTGATAATTTGATGAGCACTTGTTTTCCAGCCATCGGGAAGCTGAAGTTTGTGGTAGTAATAGAATCATTTCTGGAGTCAAACAGCCTAAGTTCACATCTCAGCTGTGTGACTTTGGCCATGTCATGCTACTTAGCCACTCCGTGTGTCCATTGGCTCTTCTGTAAAGAGAGATAATATGAAGCCTATTCTATATGGTTGCTGAAAAGATTAAACGTATATGTATTCATGTTCAGTATATGCAATGTTTAGTATGTTCAATGTAGGTGAAGTATTTACACCTACAGTGATCAGTCAATGTTGGTGTGACGATGTTACTAACTAGGATGATGGATTAATATGGCCTTCGGGGCTTCCCTGGTGGCGCAGTGGTTGAGAGTCCGCCTGCCGATGCAGGGGACACGGGTTTGTGCCCCGGTCCGGGAGGATCCCACGTGCCGCGGAGCGGCTGGGCCCGTGAGCCATGGCCGCTGAGCCTGCGCATCCGGAGCCTGTGCTCCGCAACGGGAGAGGCCACAGCAGTGAGAGGCCCACGTACCGTAAAAAAAAAATATATATATATGTATATATATATGGCCTTCAGAGAGACAAAAGGGCTTTGGCAACCAGAGACCTGGCTTTCCCCCGAGTGAGTCACCTTTGACTCTCTGGGGCCCTGTGGACACAGACAAAAGTAACTACTCTTCCTGAGTCTCATTTTCTCATCTGCAAAGTGGGGGAAATGGTACCTACTGCATAAGGATGTTGCAAAGATGAAATGAGATCATGAATGTTCATGCCTGGCACCCAGTGATTGATTAATAAATGGCAGTTGTTATCATGAACATTGGCCTACTGTTTACCCATCCCACTTTTGCCCAGAACCTTTCTCAAAGGAGCGAAGGAGCCACAGGAATTAAAAAGGCAGCCACACGAGGGTCAGGGGTATGAGGAAAAGATTCTGCTTTGGATGGGCAGGAGGGGGCTTCCTAGATGTCTTAGGAGTTCTTTGTTTTATTCTCTGAGTATCCATTTCTTTAAATGTTAAACAAGCATAGTAATCTGTAACCCTACAGGCTTTTGAGAAGATTAAATGAGATCACATGTAAAAGTACCAGCACAGTGCCCAACACTTAGGAGGCGCTTTATAAAAGGCAACGACGATGATGATAGAAGCTGCCATCTACCAAGCTCTAAGCTCCAAGAGCCCTTCATACATGATCTAATTCAAACCCTACAACATCCCTCTGAGCATCAAACAAACTCACTGCTTCCTCCTTTGAGCCTCTGTTTCTCATCCATCAAATGGTCTTAACAAGACCAGAGCGTTGTTCTGAAGACTGAATGAGGTAATTTGGAAAGCTGTATGGGGTCCTCTACTTTGCAGACAACTAAGAACACTGCTCTTGTGGGAATCCCCTGGCGGTCCAGTGGTTAGGACTCCTCGCTCCCACTGCAGGGGCCCGGGTTCGATCCCTGGTCGTGGAACTAAGATCCTGCGGCCAAAACAACAACAGTAACACTGCTCTTGAGATGGCCAGCCGGTTTTTAAAACCCTAGTGATGGGGCTTTAGTCTCTAAGTCTCAATCTCTTCTGAACGGTGGAAATACCAACAGGCCTGCCTCATAGCTGACTGGCAAGGAGTACCCAAGAAATGTTTGCTGATAATACATATGGAAAGGCTTGCTTCAGGGTGTGACACAGGCTCGATAAAGAATAGTTTTATTTAGCAAACACAATATGCCAGGCACTGCCATAAGAACTTTACAAATGTTAATTAATCTTCAACAGCGCTTTGATGTAAACACAACTATTATGTTTGTTTTACAGACAAGGAATCAGAGGCCCAGAGAGGTTAAGTAGCATGCCCAAGGTCACACAGCATTGGAGTCAGGATGTGAACAGCGACTGGCGAGCAGCGACACTATGTTGTCCTCTCAAGAACTCAAGGCAGGACTTCCCTGGTGGCGCAGTGGTTAAGAATCCGCCTGCCAACGCAGGGGACACGGGTTCGAGCCCTGGTCTGGGAAGATCCCACATGCCGCGGAGCAACTAAGCCCATTGCCACAACTACTGAAGCCCGTGCTCCTCAACAAGAGAAACCACCGCAATGAGAAGCCCGCGCACCACAATGAAGAGCAGCCTCTGCTCACCGCAACTAGAGAAAGCCCGCGTGCAGCAATGAAGACCCAACACAGCCAAAAATAAAAATAAATTTATTAAAAAAAAAAAAACTCAAGGCAGAAATACAGGGGCTCTTTGCCAGTCACACCCAGGTTGTTATTAATATAATTCCTGACCCCACCTGTCAGCTCACTCCTTCTCTCATTGGCAATCTCCCTGACTCACTGTACTTCTAAACAATTCTGAAAGGTAGGCATCATAAACCCCATTTACAGATAGGAAAACTGAGGCTCAGAGCAGCCTGGAGAGTTTGCCAGGGCACACAGGTAGGAAGTAGAGGTTCTAGAGCCTGAGTGTTAGCACTCAGGACTCAACAGCTCCGGATTAGGAACCTGCCCTTGCAGGACAGTCATTGCCACACCCCAGCCCACGGTAAGGGAAGATCAGATTGCTGAGGCCAGCATCAGGAAAAGTCACCTGGACCCAAGGAGAAGATGTACCTGAAAGACTCACCTATCACTCTGACCAGGACTGAGGCAGAGCGGGCCAGGTGTGTGAGAGAGTTAAAAGCTGTGCAGCTGTAAATCCCTTGGTGTTCCCAAGTCAGGGCCTCGATGACCAGCTGTTCCCCCGTACAGACACTCGTGGAAGGTTCAAGGGTCCAGTGAAACTCAGCATCCGGCTGGGATTCAGCCCGACACTGCAGGGTCAGGCTGGAGTTGAGCTCCGCCTTGATGGTGTTGACCACCTTGGACGCCGACCCCCTGGTGATGTCCACTCGATCAGGGCCATCTGTGTGCAGATCCAAATGCTATGCACCCATCCTCCACTGGCGAGATGTCCTATTTCACCCCATTCAATTCCACATTGGAAGTTCTGCCTTTTTTTTTTTTTTCCTTCTCAATTCTAACTAAGGGAATTCCAGGCTGTAACCTGGAAAACAAGGGCTCTTCAACTGCTGTTGAAAGGAATCTCAGCAAGAGAAGAAGAAGAAAATGCTCCCCTTTCCTCCTTAGCTGCCGAGCAAACAGACTGTATTCCACAACATGGAGGGGGGAAAAATTCAAAACAAACGAAATTAAAATCAAAAACGAAAACCTCTGCCATTGCAAAAGTGAATTCTAACAAAGGAGCCTCATAAGACATCCAGGCTTCAGAAATTGTTGCTGTGTCCTGTGTATGTAGCCCCTAACTTCCAAAATGTTTACAATTCTGATGGAATCTCTTAATAACAAACAGCCCGGTGACAATATCTAAATTTACATCTCCATGTATTCACAAAGGTAGAGATGCCTGTGGATTTTCTTTGTTAAGCCAGAAGGGGACCAATGGTACTTGGCTCTCCTCCCATAGACATGAAGGAAACAAAGGAAATGGCTGTTGGATTTCTCATGCAAAACCAAGAGTTTGAGTCTTGTCTTATTGAAATGAATGTGAACTACTGGAAAGAAGGATGCAAAGAGGTTCTAGTTGGGGCATTCCAGGAGATGAGGAAAATCTTGCCCTTGTCCCTAAATATCCTTTGAATCTGTTCATTTCTCTCCATCCTAACCCCATGGCCATCAGGATCCCTCATTTGCCCCCATCCTGGTGTCCCCATCCTGGTCTCAAATCCTGCACACAGCAGCTACAGATGTCTTCCTAAGTACAAACTTGACACTAACCCTCCCCTGCCCAGAACTGTCCATGGCTCCCTAGGGTCCTTGGGACAAAGCCCACGGCTGATGAACTCATTCACAAGGTCCCTGTAGACCCCTCCAGTCCCACCACTCACCTCTCCACACCTCCCACTTTCAATCCTTAAAAAAGATCCTAATTGGGGAGGGCGGGTGGGAGGGAGGGAGACACAAGAGGGAAGAGATATGGGGATATATGTATAGCTGATCCACTTTGTTATAAAGCAGAAACGAACTCACCATTGTAAAGCAATTATACTCCAAGAAAGATGTTTTCAAAAAAAAATAAAAAAGATCCTACTTGGATATTCCATTGCATCAGAGGCATCGCATACTCTCTTCCTTCTCTGGAATACTCTTCTCCTGAGTCTGCTCTACCTAGCTAACTTACGTGTCCTTCGGGTCTCGCGGTAGACACCACCTCTCATGGTGAGTCTTCCCACATCCCCCAGACTGGGTGGGGGCTCCCTTTGGGTTCCCCAAATCTCTGGTCCCATGGCAGGACCTATCACACTGTATTTTCTTTGTCTGATTATTGATCTCCCAATCCTGAGTAGGCTGCGAGCTCTGAAAGTCACAGCTAACATCAAGTGCCTTACTTGCTGCTCAGCATACAGAGAGAACAAAGTAGACATTTTTGGTTTCATGACCAGAGTTGGAAAGAAAGAGGAGAGAGCAAGAAAGGAAGGGAGGGGACTTCCATGGTGGTCCCGTGGTAAAGAATTCGCCTTGCAATGCCAGTTCCATCCCTGATGGGGGAACTAGGACCCCACGCGCCACAACTACCGAACTCACGTGCCTCAACTAGAGAGCCCACATGCTGCAACTACAGAGCCCACGCGCCCTGGAGCCTGTGCACCACGCACCACAACTAGAGAGAGAAAACCCGCACAACACAACTAGAGAGAGGCCTGCGAGCCACAAGGAAAGATCCCACATGCTGCAACTAAGACCCGATACGCCCCCCCCCGCCGCAAAAAAAAAGGAAGGAAGGGAAAGCAATGTATTTAAGCCATGTCTCTATCCCCCTGCTGTGTAATGTGCACATTAACACACATGTCAGAGGAATTCAAGGAGGCCCAGGTGACCAGAGAGGTCAAGTATGGGAACAGAAGAAGCTGGGAGAGTGGGGTAGACCACACAGGGTGGTGTGTGGTCTGCCCCACTCTCTCTCCCTGCAGAGACCTCTTCTCCCCCAGTCTTCTCGAGCTCAGTTCATGGCTTCTTCATCCTTTGAGCAGCTCAGGCAAAAAAACCTTTGGAGTCATTCTTGACCACTCCTTTCCTCTCTTGCTTCAGGTCAATGAGCAGCAGATCCTGTGAGTTTGATATATAAAATATATTCACGGCTGACTTCTCATCACCCACAGTTGCCACTGGCTCAGCCCCATCATCTCTTGATGGATGACTGTGGCCACCACGGGAGGGTGCCTCACAGACCTCCAATGGTAAGAGTGTGATTGACCAAGAGCCCAGCTGCTGTACCCCCAGATTCACTCCCAGGCCTTTCCTGGGCTGCACCCTGCCAGTACCTGAGTGTGTTGAGGAAACTAAGGCAGACCCCTTCCTGCGAGACGGGCACCCCGAGAGTCTTGATGATGTTCCTTAGACTACATGGCAGTCCACACACTCCCATCCAACCCTCTCTCCCTTTCTTCCTCACTCGGAGTCAGGCTTAGATCTCAGTCTGATGGCCCTCCCAGCCTTTTTAGGTTCCCTCCCTACAGGAGCATTCCCTTAATAAAATCCTTGCACGTATAATCTCATTTTGAGATCTGTCTCCATGGACCCAGACAAACACAACTCTTTCTACTATCACCTCGTCCCTCTCCCCTGCTTCCAGCCCCTAGACAAGGGCCAGAGAGACCCTGTGCAAACCCAAGTCTAATCCTATCTCTCCTCTGCTCAGAGCCTTCTGTGGCTCCTAGTGTCCTCACCATGGCCCACAGGACCTGTGTGGTCTACCCCACTCTCCCAGCTTCTTCTGTTCCCACACTTGACCTCTCTGGTCACCTGGGCCTCCTTGAATTCCTCTGACATGCCAAGCACAGTCCCATCTCACGTGCTGTTCCCTCCCCTGGAACTCACTTCCCTTGGCTAGCTGCACGGCTCACTCCCAGCCTCCTCCTGCAGAAACACCCCCTCCTCTGGGAAGCCTCCCCTGACCACCCCAGCTAGGACTGCAACACCTCCCCAATGTCCCAGCCTTGCCTGCCTTTCGTGCCGCCTCTAGTGCCATCTGACACACCAGGAAATCTCCCTTGCTTAGCTGTTTATGGTCTGTCTCCCCCACTAGAACGTAAGCTCCATGAGGGTTGTCTTGTCCAGTGCCCAGACATGCCTGGCACAGAACAGGTATTCAATAATTATGGAATGAGTGGCTGGAAGGAAGAACTTAAGCAGGGGAGGGAGAAGGGAGGAGAAGAAGGTCCAGGCTCGGGGCGACTCACAGCTGATGTTCAACTTGAGGGGGTCACTCCATACCCGGCTGCTCCAGTTCCAGACCTCACACTCATAGGGCCTTGTGTCATTGCACTGAAGGCCATGGATGACCAGGGTCCTGTTGTCAGCTGACAGCACCAGGTGCTTGCTGGGCAGAAGGAGCTGGCCCCGCAGGAACCACTGGACTGCAGCTCCCTTAGGGGTGGCCTGGCAGGTCAGGGCCACCAGCTGGTTCAGAGGCAAGACGCAAGGCTTGGTCAGCCTTTCTGGAAACACATAGAGAGACAGGATGGGGTCCAGGGTCCCTTTGTCAGTCTCCCACCCATATGGGGCCCGCAGAATTTTCCAGGGATGTGTGTATATGTTGTGGGTGCTGTGTGTGTATATATGTGTTTTGCATATGACTGTATTGTGTGGGTGGTACATCTAAGTCTTTTGTGTATGAGTGTGTGTTGTGTGACAATTATGTGAATGTGTCATGGGTTTTGTGTGTGTGGAGAGTGTGTGGTATGTGGACGTGTTTTGTGTGTGAGTGTGTGCTTTGTGTCTATTTATATGTGTGTGTTGTGTGTATATGTTTTGTGACTGTGGTAGGGTCTGTGGTAAATGTATATATTGTACTGTGTGCATATATGCTTTGTGTATCACTGAATTGTGTGTGTGGTACAGCTATGCATTGTGTGTGTGTTCTGTGTCATTGTGCATGTGTTGATGGTGTTGAATGTATGGCATGTGGGGTGTTTTCTGTGTTGTACATGAGGATGTCGAGTGTCTATGATGTGTGTGTGTGTGCGTCTATTGTGTGCATATTATATTTTGTGTGTATGTGTTTTACGGGAGAATATGTTGTGTGTCTGTGGTATTGTTTGCTCCATATGTGATATACGTGTCTGTGTTTTGTGTGTGAGCATTGTGTATGTATATGTGTGAGTGCATGGTATGTACATGTTGTGGGTTTGTGTGTATGGTATGTGTATGCGTTGTGTGTCTGTGATGTGTTATGTACTGTGTGTTTCATGTATTGTGTGTGTCTGTTGGGTACGTGTTATATGTATCTTGTGTGAGTCTGTGTATTCTGTGCTTTTGTATGTTGTGTGTGAGTTGTATGTGTCTGTGGTGCACATGTGTGAGCGTGCTATGCGTGTGTGATTGGTTTGTTTTTTTTGGCCGCACTGTGCAGCATGCGGGACCTTAGTTCCCCGACCAGGGATCGAACCTGTGCCCCCTGCAGTGGAAGCGCGGCGTCTTAACCACGAGACCGCCAGGGAAGTCCCCTGCATGTGTGATTGTTATTTGTGTGTGTGTCCCTATGTGTGTATGGGGTCTGTGAGTGTTGTGTTAGTGTTTGTATGTATAGAGAATCGCCTCCCCCACTTCTAGAGAATCAAGTGACAGACGCCCCACAGAGAGCCTACAAGGCCTTGTAGAGGATGTGTCAAGCCAGGACCCAGGTCCTTGCCTGTGGCTAGAGCCACGATCTGCCACCAGCCACATGGGAAGTCCCCACTCCACTGGGTCCTCCTCAAACTCTCGGATATTGGTGTAGCTCTGATTCTCAGAGAAACAAAGGAGAGAAATATAGGGAAAAGAGACTCACCAAGGATGTGGAATTTAAGAGTAGCCTTGTGGGACAGCTGGGTGGCACTGTTGGACACCAAGCAGCTGTACGTGCCCTCGTGTTCCCTGGACACGGCATAGATGGTAAATGTGCTTGCGGTGAGAAATGAGCTCGTGATGGGCTTGGAGTCATTGGGGAAAAACCATAAATAGGCAGTGGGTGGGTGAGACTGAATTTCTACCGAGAAGGTCACATTGCTGCCCTCTATCACCTCAACTGCCTCCCCGTTGGGTACACCGGACTCCACCTTGATTTTGACGGGGTCAGGACCATCTGGGAGGACAAGAACAATTGTAGCAGTAATAACAGCGTCAGTGACAGCTCTCTTAGGGGGACGTAGACAGTCAATAACATTAATTTTTCTCTTCTCCCCACTCAAGCTCTAGAAACATTACAAAGAAGATGCAAGAGTCTGACAGTGATGACATGTCAGCTTCATCCCTGGGTAAAGCGGGATTGGAAGAAATATCTAAAACATGCCAGCAAATGCTCTTTCCTCACCACTACCTAGGCAATATTTTGGATCAAACAGCCGAAGGTTAAGGAGCTCAGTTTTAGGTATGTCAAGTTGGACATTCCCAGGAGAATCCAAGCAGAGACATCAAACAGTTATACGTCTGGAGTTAAAGCGTGGACAAGTCCGCATTCGGATGGTACTTAAAGCTGCGAGACTGGGGACTCCCCTGGTGGCCAGTGGTTGGGAATCCGCCTGCCAATGCGGGAGACACGGGTTCCAGCCCTGGTCCGGGAAGATCCCACATGCTAAGGAGCAGCTAAGCCCGTGCGTCACTATTGAGCCCGTGCGCTGCAACTGCTAAAGCCTGCACGCCTAGAGCCCATGCTCCGTAACAGGAGAAGCCACCGCAGTGAGAAGCCCGCGCACCGCAACAAAGAGTAGCCCCCACTCGCTGCAACTAGAGAAAGCCCGCGTGCAGCAACAAAGACCCAACACAGCCATAAATTATTTAAATAAATAAATAAACAATAAAGCTGCCAGACTGAATGAGATCACCAAGGAAGTGGGTGCTGGGGAGGGGCTGGGAGAATGGAAAGGGACTCACAGTTCACAACCAGGAAGGTGGGGTCACGGCTCATGACATGGAGGACACCTCAAACTTCACATTGGTAAGTCCCGGTGTCTTCCCGCTGGACAGGGAAGATGGTGAGGGTCTTGCCATCTGTGGACAGCTGCATGCACTCATGGAACACCAGGGGCTGATTGTTGGAGACCCAGTGGATGGTAATGTTGACATCTTTGGGGTCACAGTAGAAGGTCACATTTCCCCTGTGCTCTATGGCTGTGCCCTGGCTGATTGAAATGGTGGGCTTGGCCAGCGATTCTACAGAGGAAGAAACAGAGAGAGGGAAACAAGAGTCAGAGACACAGATAAAGGAAGACCAAGCAAGATATAGTCACAGAGGGCCCCAGAGAAACAGGGGTGGGTTGGAATCGCATGCAGACACCCTGGAGCTCCATGACTGGGCTCAAATGCTGGATCTACTTCTCATTCTAGGTGTGATCTTGAGCCACTCACTTCCCCTCTCCAAGGCCCATTAAATGGGATGGTACAAATCAAATGGAGGGTCTGGGATATGACAGTGGGTCATGCAAAGAAATCAAGCTTGTAACACGGATGACAGCCAGGTCCCCCAACCCACTTCTTAGCCAACCTTCCCCACCCACAGCCATGATAGCCACAGCCCACATCTTTACCACGCCCCACCCCCAGCTTCGACACAAATGATCGGACCAGTTGTTGCTGAGTGAGTGAGTGAGCCAATCAGGTGTGTCATGTTGGGGCTTTGGGCACGGAACCCTGATGGGCGCTTGAGGTGTGGAGACAGAGATCAGAATGACAGCCTTGTTTTCTGTGCCCTGAATCTACCATGAGTCTAGGGTGACCAAGGGGTCCCAAATATAGACGGAACAACACCCTTCTCACTTTGGGTGACTTCAAGCAGGTTGGCATCAGGGGTGAGCTGGGCTGCAGCTGGCAGGCTCCACACGGTCAAAAGTGAGGCTGGAGGGGAAAGAGGAGGCATTCAGGGAGGAAGAGGTGTGTTGGGGGTGCCCAGTTACGGTCTTCCTAAGTGGAGGGAGGTCTGAGGTCATGGATGGGGCCCTCCACCCCTAGAGGCTTGACTTCTACCCATTACTTATTGGCCGCGTGACTTGAGGCATGTTTTCATCTTCTCTGAGCCTCAATTTCCCCATCTGTAAAATAGGAATAATATCGTCTGCCTCCTAGGATTGTTGTGGGTGGTAATGAACACTGTGAAGCTTTAACTGGGTCTCCTGGGGGTTACTGTGCTCTCTCCAACGGTGCCCACTCCGTGGAAGATGCATGGTCAGCCTCCCGCTTCCACAGGGAGGTAAACAAATGCTCAGATTGGTGAAGTAACTTTCCAAGACCAGATAGTAAGTGTCAAAAGCTAACTGGAACCTGGCCTGCCAGACCTTAAAGACTGCGCTCTCAACACCGTGCAATTCCCCTGGTCCAGGGATGGGCACAGAGCCAACCCCTGATAAAGGGGAACTTCTTTTATTATCTTTGATGGGAGAAATTAACCTTTCGTACTTCCTCATACTTGCCCTCAGGCAGAGATCTCCCTTGCACAGGGGAAGGAAAGGGAACAAGGTAGTAGGAGCTTCCAGTTTTCCATGTGGCCATTTTGCACACAGTTTTGTGGAAACTTAAAGACTGTGGGCATAGATGGGGAGCCTCAACCCCAGCAGCCATGCCCATGCGCAGCTGACCTTGACATTCCCCCCTTGCCCTAACCATCAGCCCAATTAACAGAGGCTGGCAGCTATGCCCTTCTCTACCCCTCAAATGACCCCAGTTTAGCCCAAGCACTGCCCCATCCCCTGCTCAGTCAGGTTAAGGGCATGGGCTCTTAGTATATTTGGGAGCAAATATGGACTCTGCTGCTTACTTTCTCTATTATCATGGGCAAGGGGCTTTCTCTTTGTGAGCCTCAGTTTCTTCAACTGCGAAATGGGGAGAATAGTAGAACTTAGTTTATCAGGTTATTGTGAGGTCTGATATCAGATATGACAGTTCAGAGTAAGTGTCAGTCACTATTATTAGTACTGTTGTTTGTTTGTTTGTTTATTCGCTGCACTGTACGGCATGCAGGATCTTGGTTTCCCAACCAGGGATCAAACCCAAGCCCCCTGCAGTGGAAGTGCAGAGTCTTAACCACTGGACCACCAGGGAAGTCCCATAGTATTATACTATTGTTATTATCACTATTATTATCATTATTATTTCCTGTGCTTATATTTCTCTATCTTCAATGCTATTAGAGGTAAAGCCCATAGGCGCAGAGCCTGACTCCCTGGGTTTTGAATCCCACTTTTGCTGTTTATTTGGGCAAGTGATGTCCTCTGCCTGAGTCTCAGTTTCCCCATTTGTAAAACAAGGGTAATAATAGTTCCCGCCTCATAACTGTCATAGGATAAATGAAAGAATGTGAGTGAAAGCATCAACAGTGGGCCTCATCATACCCATCTGAAAGAGGAAACTTCTCTCTCTGCAAATCCTCCACCTGGACCCTTTCCCCCCGCCCCCTCCCCAGAGGGCCCTGCCTTCTGTCTCTCCAGGAGGAGGCAAATTTCAAAGGAAAACCCACAGATGATGGGGCTGATAAATGTCAGACCCCCATCCCCAGGAGGACTGCAAAGCCCCTGCAGCCTGCCGGGCTCAGCCAGGAAGCTCCAACCGGAGGGAAGGGCTGGTCTCAGGGCCACACAGCAAAGCCGGGCTGAGCCCTCACCTCCGCACGCCACACATTGCAAAATCATGTCTTTGCCTCCAAGACGCTTTTATAAAAGTTGAAGGATAGTTGATTTACAATGTTGTGTTACTGTCTGGTGTACAGCGAAGTGATTCATACACACACACATGCATATACATATTTATGTATAGTATATATATATATACACACACGCATATACATATATGTATAATATATATACACACGCATATGTATATATTATACACACACATACATATATGTGTATAATATATATACACATGCACATACATATATATGTATAATATATACACACATATACATATATAGGTATAATATATATACACACGCATATACATATATAGGTATAATATATATACACACGCATATACATACATATGTCTAATATATATATTCTTTTTCCGATTCTTTTCCATTACAGGTTATTACAAGATATTGAATGCAGTTCCCTGTGCTGTACAGTAGGACCTTGCTGTTTATCTATTTTATATACAGTAGTGTGTATCTGTTAATCCCAAACTCCAAATGTATCCCTCTCCCCCTGCTTTCCCCTTTGGTAACCATAAATTTGTTTTCTACATCTGTGAATCTGTTTCTGTTTTTTTTTTTTTTTTTTTGCGGTATGCGGGCCTCTCACTGTTGTGGCCCCTCCCTTTGTGGAGCACAGGCTCCGGACGCACAGGCTCAGCGGCCATGGCTCACGGGCCCAGCCGCTCCGCAGCATGTGGGATCTTCCCGGACCGGGGCACGAACCCGTGTCCCCTGCATCGGCAGGCGGACTCTCAACCACTGTGCCACCAGGGAAGCCCTACAGAGGTATTTTAACAGTTTCCAAGCTCCTCCCTCCCCCTTACCCCCCATCCTCACTCCCCCCGCCCCCAGCCCTGGTTCCAATGTATCTGGTGACCCCCTGTCAGCAATAATGACCTGACATATGGGTGAGAAAACACAGCTGCCCTGATCTGGAGGGGAAGACAAAGGAGAGAGGATTTAGGTTCTGCCCCAGGGCTGGGGGTGGGGAAGGGGGGCCCAGTATAAGGGGCGTAGTTGTTCACTGCTTCCTGGTGACAAGGAATGAAATCCTTTGGTCTAGTGTTGGAGGCCTCCACGATACAACCCCTGCCAGCCTTCCGACCATGAGTGCGCATCACCACCCCTCTCCCTCCACACTCCCCACCACACACACACACACACACACACACACACACACACACACGCACACGGGCACATGCACACACATGCACAGGGAACTCCATTCTCTCGTCCCTCACTCAACACCTTACCATCTCCATGCCCCAGGCCTACATCAAGGGAGGGATGCTGCACATTTACCTGAAGATGGCACTCACTAACTCCCCACAGGAGAAGACAAGTTCTCAGCTTGGAGTTCAAGGTCTCTGCAAAGAGTCCCATGCCTCCCTTTTCACCATTAATTTCCATACCTAGAAAGGAGCGCTCATCTCTTGCTCCCTACTCACTACCCTTGCACCCTCTCCTAGCCAGCCGGCCCACCAGGCCCAGAGGAGTGGAGGGGTGTCTCACGTGCAAGGAGCACTCTTTTGATTCCCAAGGTCAAATGCGGTAAAGTCTGAGGCCTGCAGCTTGGCATTCAAGGCCTCTACAATCTGGGCTCTGCCAACTTATCCACCATTAATTTTCATCAAAGCAGAAAGAAAACTCAGGAATCTGGTTCATCTCTCTCTATCCTCATCCTATCCAGGACTCCTGTTTACCTCAAGCTTCCTTCATAGACAGGTACCCAACCCTCCTTTAGGGAAAAGAGAATCACGGCTACCTGGTCCCTCATGAAGCCCAGGAAATAGGCCACAGTGGCCATCAGAGCAATACCAACCACCATTCCAAGCACGATGTCAGCGATGCCCCCTCCAGGGATGTGTGGTCCATAGAATGCTGGGCCCTGGTCATTCTCAGATGTGGCATCTATGGAGCAGAAGAGAAACAGAGTGGGGGAAGCTGTGGTAGGTGCCCAAAGATCTCCAGTTCCTAATCCCTGGAATCTGCGACTGTTCCCTTACATGGTAAAAAAAAGAGACCTTGCAGATGTGCTGACGTTAAAGACCTTGAAATGGGGATATTAGCCTGGATTATCCAGGTGGGTCCTTAAATACAGTTACAAGTTTCCTTATAAGAGGGAGGCAGAGGGAGATTTGACACAGAATGAAGAAGGCCGTGTGACAGAAGCAGAAAGAAGTAGACGGAAGCAGACAGAAGCAGAGTCAAAGGGAGAAGATGCTGTGATGCTGGCTTTAAATATGAAGGAAGGGGCCATGAGCCACGGAATGCAAGGGTTGCAACTCTAGAAGCTGGAAAAGACAAGGAAATGGATTCTACCCTAGAGCCTCCCAAGGAGCACAGCCCTGCCTACACCTTGACTTTGGCCCCACGAGACTGATTTTGGACATCTGACCTCCAGAAGCATAGGAGAACACATTTGTGTGTCGTCGTAAGCCACCAAGAGTGGAATCGTTACAGCAGCCATGTGGAACCAATACAGAGGCCCGACACCACCGTGAACCACCCACCCACCCCGGATTTCAACTGCCCTCTCAGCTGAGCACATTTAATCTACAGCCCTCCCAGTCATAAGACCCCAAGAGGGAGCTCCTTGATTCCAGTGTCTATTTTCGCAAATGGAGAGGTTGGGGCTCAGAGAGAGGAGAATACTAGATTCCCTCAAGGCCCAAGACCCAAGAGTTCTACTCCCACCCACTCTTCTTTCCCCGACACAGTACTTTACTAACGTCATTCACTTTCTCCCTTCACAATATCATCCCCGTTTACAGCATTGCCTTAATATGTTTCGTTATATCGACTCACAATTCTATTTAAATAAATTTAAGTAGAAAAAAATTAACTTCTAAAAGAAGTTCAATATAAACAAAGCAATGCCACTCAGTTCTAGCAAGATGCGGCAACAGGGTCTTGTTCTCTCCTTGTTAGGCCAAGAAATTAGCAAGTGCTAAGGAGAGAGTTAAAGATAACTAGCTCAAATCAAGACTTTCTCTCAATGTAATCAGAAAGACTGAACTAAATTAAGAGGGACTGTCTTTCTATGTCATGATACGTCACGCCATTTCCAGGTACCACCTGAGGACATTTCATCTATCACTTAAACTGGTTCTGGGGGAACAATGCTCACACTATATTCCTGTCTCCCTGTGGCCTAACCCCATTCTAGGCACACGGTAGGTGCTTCATAAATGCTGTATTTTCTCAGTTGAAGATGTTGCCCATCATCCACTGCACCACTGATTTAATGGTGGCTGTGGGTATGCTAATAACAAAGTGAACGGGGTGGGGGGGGCGTGGAGTTTGAGTCAAACTCAAGATACATGCAATTTGCTGAATAAGTGAATGCACGCAGGTGTAATTTGCTGAGTTTCCTTTCTAGGTTTCCATCCTGGCTTCCAACTAGACTGTATATTCCCTGAGGGTAAGAACCATGCCCACCCGGCCTTCCTTCACCCCCAGGCCAAGCCAAGACCAGAAGATGCCTCTTGCTTCTTGTGCCCCTAAATTGATCTTTAAGCCCCAAGGAAGTGGACACGGGGAAGGAAGGCACCTGTTCCATGGAAGCAGTTTCATAGTGAGACCTCGAAGTCTTATGATAAGGGCTCTTCTATTTCTCAGAGAACCCGGGTGAACCAAACCCAGCCCTTCAAACTCTCCTTGCTCCATCCCATCACAGGGACTTTGCACTCACCGCTTCCTCTGCCTGGAAGTCTCTGACCCTCCCTGCCCATACTGAGTTGACTATCTGGGTGGATGGATAGGTCGGTGGGTGAATGTTTATGTGAATGGGTGGCTGTATGAGTATGTGGGTAGTTGGAAGGATGGGTGGGTGGATGGATGGATGAGGGGTGGGTATGTGGATGGATAAGCAAGTGAATGGGTGGGTAAATAGGTTGCTATGTGTGTTGATGGAGGAATAGGTGGGTGGGTGGGTGGGTGGATGGATGGATAAGGAGAGGAGGCCCCTCACCTTTGATGTGGACCGCCAGCTGGGCCATACTCTGAAGGCCTGTGTCTGCATTGACAGCATGGCAGTTGTACAGTCCTGAGCTGTTCAGCGTGATATCCAGGATGGAGACGAGCTGCCCTGCTGCCCCTGGACTCCCAGCCACCCTCCATGCGTACTCAGCAGGTGGGTTGGAGTCGGCAAAGCAGGAGAGGGTGAGGTTGGAGCCAACCGCAAAGGTAGAGTCCATGGGGTTTATCACCGGGACATTAGGACAATCTGGGGAAGACAGAACAGACATTTCAAAGGGAGGAGAATGCTCTATACTTTCTCTACTTCTAGCCCAGGCCCAGTGAGTCACAGTTCTGCCCAACTTCTATCACACTTCTGCCACAAATGGAACCATGACCCACCCACCCCAAACCATGTTAGAGAGAGGAAGGGAAGGAGAGAGAAGGAAGGAGGTGGAGGGGCCGTTGTTCCTTCTAAGGTATATTCCTTACACACCCGTGAGAGGAGGTGCTATAGCTTGAGGATTAAGAGTCCAGGTTTTGCAGTCTGACTAGCAGGAATCCGATCCTAGCAATCTCACGTATTAGTGCTGAGCGTCAGTCTCCTCTTTTGTGAAAATCAGGGAAGAGAGTGGCCACCTCACTGGATTGTGTGGACTCACTGGGATATGTGTCTGCTTGGCCTGTGGTCAGTACTAGATGTGCCGATAAGTGACTAATTAATCTGATTTATTTTTAATTTTTTTAAATTCCTCTTAAGAGAAGAAGCTTGAATACAGAGAGCATGAAGCCTGATTGTCAACCAAAACACCCACCGATCCCCATGCCAGTGGCGAGAGGAAAGGAAGGTAGTGGCACAGAGAGACCACTGCGCTAGGAATCCCAGCACTGAGCTGAGAGCAACCCCACAGGGGTAGGGGTAGTGCTGCCCCAGCCCATGACCCTTATCTAAAAAGAGAGACTGAACCGCACTCCTGCCCCAGGGTGGACCCAGCTGAGGGCCATATGCAGATTTTGCCTGACCAGCCTCCAAACTCCTCAGCCCAGTAGTGAAGTCCTTTACGGAACTATCCCTCCTCCAGCCTCAGTCTGCCTGTTCTGGTTCCAGTGGGGTGGGTCCTCCTGCTTGCCCCTCACAGGCTGTGGGCAGACACATGACCCCTGACTGTCCAATGAGAGCACAGTATCTCCCTCCACAGTGATTGGTTCGGGGCGGGAACATGACCCAAAATGGGCCAATGAGAGTCAGCCTTGGGACTTTAGCTGGAACTGCAAAGGACTGAGGAACTTTCTCCTGTGGTGGCTAAGGGGGTGGGTTGTGGGTGTGGGCCTGCTGAGGCTGTCATTCAACCCCTGAGAATGAAAGCCCCACAGAAAAAAGAGAAGTCCAGAATTCCTTGGCTTCCACATGGCACCTCTGTGACCTTGTACATTCTCCTGTTTCTTTCAGCTTCGTGTGGTTTCTGTTCCCCTTAATAACCAAACAATTCCTACCTATCTTGGGTAACCTCTCCCTCTCTCTGTACCTCAGTTTTTCCAGTCATAATAAAGGGACATTTGATGAGATGGCCTCTAAGTCTCATGGTTCAGGAAGCAAGGAGGAGACAATTTAGTAAGACAGCTAAGTGCGAGGCTCTGGAGCCAGACGTTGTGTTCAAATCTGACTACCACATATGAACTTCGGGAAACTGATTTAACCTCTCTAAGCCTTGATTTCCTCATCTGTGAAATGGGAATAATCATAGTTTCTGCTTCACGGTTTGTGGGTGAGGATTAAAATAGTTCCAACGTGAACAGTGCCTGGCACATGGTATGTGCTCAACAAATATTGGTAACTATTATTATTATTTTAACTTGCTCCATTCCCTCCCCAGGGTGCCCCCAAGGCATAAGGCAAAAGAGACTCACAATTCACATTTATAGGGAGGGGGTTGCTGAGGCTGGAAGTGGCAGAATTGCTGGCCTTACACTGGTAGAACCCGGTGTCATTCCGTGTAATGTTCCAGAGGGTGAGGGGCCTGTGGTCTGGGGACAGCTCCCCTCGGCCCCCATTGGAAAAGACATCACTGTTTCTGAACAACCTGATATCTATGACTCTCTTCGGAGGGACACACATCAGGGTGACAGAGCCCGTGTTCTCCACGGGGCCGACATTGTCAGCCAGGATGCTGGGCTGAGGCATGTATTCTGTTCAGGGACACAGAGCAAAGAGGGAACGGCAGTGAGATAAGAGGGATCCTCTTCACAGTTAATTTGATGAGCCCTGCAATCCTTAACCTCCTCCCCTTAGACCTCTGTGCATCTCACCCCTTTCCTGAAACCATCTCCTCCCAGGGCTTGGAAATTCACACACCCTCCTATTCAGTCTAGTTAGTATCATCTAGTCTAGATCTGCACTGTCCAGTACAATGGCTGCCAGCCACATGTGGTTACTGAGGACCTGCAAGGTGGCTGATCTAAATTAAGATGTACTATGAGTATAAAATAAACAATGGATTTCCAAAACGGAAAAAAAAAAAAACAAACAATGTAAGCTATCAACAAATTTTCTACTGATTGCATGTTGAAATGATGTTTTGAATATACTGGGTTAACAAAATTATTAAAATTGGTTTCACCTGTTATGCTTTACTCTTTTATTGTGGCTGCTAGAAAAATTTAAATCCTACATGTGCCTTGCATTATATTTCTGTTGGACAGCATTACTCTAGGTGGCTACGTATACAGGATCTGGCATCAGACTGAGTTCACTAGCTGATGACTTACCATGACTAAACCATCCCTCAGAGTCCTTCCAGTCAAATGATAATTGCAATGCCCCTCATAAGGATTAAAAGAGATAATATATACACAAATACTGTGATACATTTACAGTTTCCTAACTGTCCTTCTAATCTCCTGCCTTTGTCCAATCTGCTGCCCATGTGGCAGCAAAAAGATCTTTTCCCTAAGATAAAGACTGGGGACTTTCCTGGTGCTGCCAATGCACGGGGCCTGGGTTCGATCCCTGGTCAGGGAACTAGATGCCGCATGCATGCTGCAACTAAGAGCCTCCATGCCACAGTTTTTTAAAAAAAAAAAGACCTTGGGACTTCCCTGGTGGTGCAGCGGTTAAGAATCCATCTGTCAATGCAGGGAACACAGGTTCGAGCCCTGGTCCGGGAAGATCCCACATGCGGCAGAGCAGCTAAGCCCATGCGCCACAACTAGTAAGCCTGCGCTCTAGAGCCTGCGAGCCACAACTACTGAAGCCCATGCGCCTAGAGCCCGTGCTCCTGCAACAAGAGAAGCCACCGCACTGAGAAGCCCGCGCACCGCAACGAAGAGTAGCCCCCGCTTGCCGCAACTAGAGAAAGCTCGAGCACAGCAATGAAGATCCAACACAGCCAAAAATAAAATTAATTAATTTTAAAAAAAGACTCTGCATGCTGCAACGAAGATCCCGTACACAGTGACGAAGATCCCGTGTGCCACAACTAAGACCCAGCACAGCCAAATAAATAAATATTTAAATTTTTTTTAAGAAAAAGATTAGATTGTATTTCTCTCCTGATTAAGGGCCATCCTTGGCTCCTGGTTCCTCAGGACAAAGGCTCTAAATGATCATTCCTTGCTAACTGTTCCAGCCCCACCCCCTACTACTCTTCTCCTTGCTTAATATGCCCCAGGCTAGTATTCTCTCTGTTCCTTCCACACACCAAAGTTCTTCTTGCCACAGGGCCTTGGCACATGCCAGTCCCTCTCCCACTCGCATTTACTCTTCAATAACTCACCTCCTGCTCATCCTTCAGGTCTCCATTTAAATGCCACCACTTCTGAGAAGCCTCCTGTGGTAGACTAAATCATTGGCTGCAATGCTTTACCTCACTCCTCCCTACACTCTTCCCAGTATTCACACTCTTTACTAAGTAACTTTGCAGTCCCTTCCACAAAAGGCAGACTATGTTCCTTGCTTTTTTTTTTTTTCAAGATTTTCTTGATGTGGACCATTTTTAATATCTTTATTGAACTTGTTACAATATTGCTTCTGTTTTTTTATGTTTTAGTTTTTTGGCCACGAGGCATGTGGGATCTTAGCTCCCCGACCAGGGATCGAACCTGCACCCCCCTGCACTGGAAGGCGAAGTCTTAACCACTGGACCACCAGGGAAGTCCCTGTCCCTTGCCTTTGACTGTAGGATGTTGGCAGACATGATGCAAGCGGGTGTTTGAAATGTGCTTGTGTCCTTGGGTGTGCCCCCTTGCACCTCTGCCATAATCATGAAGAAGAGCTCCCTCTTGGGAAGGTGCCATTGCTTTAATCTAAGCCTCAGAATGAACACAGGCGGAGCAGACCTGAGTCCAACCCACAGTGAGGAGCCAAGCCCACCCAGGCCCAGTCTGGAGAAGCAGACCTCCCAACCAAGCTGCATGCGTGTGAGTGAGCCCAGATGAGAACAGCAGAGCAGTCCCAAGTGACCTGCAGACGTGTGATAATTGTTTGTTATCATACATAGGCCACCTAATTCTTGTGACTGTTTGTTATGCAGCAGTGGCTAACTGATACACCTCCCCAATGACTCTATGCAAATCTGAATCCCCATTACAGCCTCTCATTATATCTTCTGTTCCTTCAGAGCACTTAACACATTCTTCAAGTATGTATTTATTTGTGTGACAATCTTTTAATCGCCTGTCTCTCCTTTTAGACCTTAAGCTGCAGGAGGTCAGGGACCACATCTCTCTTTGCTTATCACTCTATCCCTAGTGCCGAGAACAGTATTTGGAACATATTAGTTGCTTAATAAATATGTGAATGAATAAATTAATAAGGCATTGATCAGGAGGTGATTTTAATCACCTCTGGGCTGCAGCTAAAACCTTAAAGGGACAGAAACTCAAGAGCCAGAGATTCTCAGAGGTTCAGGGCATTTTCCTAAGACTACAATGAAGTTCAGAAACTCAAGGGCTTAGGAGAAAGCTCTGTGGTCTCAACCAATGACTTCCTCTGTGACCGTGAGAATTCCTGAATACCCTCCCACCAAATTTCTTCCTTTTCTGTGGAGGGGCGGTGATTGGCATGGGTGGTCTCCCAGGGCTCCTCAAGCTCCATTTGGTCAACCAGAGTCCCCTCCAGACTCACCCACTCACCAGGGATGATAATCAGTGTGTCTGTGGCACTGTGGCTGCCTGAGGCAGGGTTGGTGGCCTCGCAGGTGTAGACTCCAACTGTGCCCAGGTGGACAGGAAGAGCTGCTGGCCAGAGGGCCCTGGGTTCCTCCTGATCGTCCACGAGTACTGGGCTGGAGGGTTGCACATGGTGGAGCAGGAGAGGGTGAGGTCGAACCCGACTATGAAGCTGAGGTCAGTGGCGGTTACTGGGGGCGTGTCCGGACCATCTGTAGCAGCCAAAATAAATTCCCAGAGAGAGTCGTAACCGAGAACCTGGGGTCTCTGCCTGGTCCGGCCTTTTCCTCTCAACCTGGTCCCTTCCCAGGGCTCCCACTTGCTGTGTGGCCCTGGGCAGCTCACCTCCCCTCTCTGAGTCGGTGGGCTCAGCACTGGTCTGTATACTCTTTGAGGGGGAGGGGCTATGGCTGTGTCAGTGTCAGGCACACGCTCGATGCTCAGTAATTATATGTTGGGTGGAGAAATGAACCAGCGTTAACCAGGGCTTATTGTGTACGAGGATCTGGATGAGCTCTGCTGGGGCCACAGAGCTGTTTCCAGCACTGCCTCTACGCATGAGAGAGGCAGACACATGTCTCACTGAGAGGGAGTATTTATCCATCTTTTCAATACGTGTTTTTTGATCCCTTGCTTTGTGCCAGGCACCGTCCTGGGTTTGGGGACACACCAGAGGCTGAGACAGGCCTAGCCCTGCCCTCACAGTGTTCCCGGTCCACTTGGGGAGACACACCTGTTCCTGACAGCAATGATCTGGAGGAGCCCAGAGAGGGTGGCTGACCCAGCCTGGGGCGTCAGGGAAGACTTCCTGGAGGAAAGGACACCTGAGCTGAAACCTGGAAGATAAGGAGGAGTTATTCAGGCAAAGGATGAGAGCAGTGGTGGGAAGGGAGGCACCAAAAAAAGGGCACAGTGTGTGGGGCTGGGGTTCAGCCAGACCGTGGTGTGTAAGGAGTACTGAGAAACGAGGTTTTGAGGGTCAACAGAGACTTGTGGCCTTGTAGTCCAGGCTAAGTGGGCTGAACTTCCTCCTGGGGGGCACTAGGGAGCCATGGAAGAGACGTGAGGAGGGGAGGAACAGAGTCCAATGTATGCTTTAGAAAGACGTGGGCAGGACTTCCCTGGTGGCGCAGTTGTTAAGAATCCGCCTGCCAATGCAGCGGACACGGGTTTGATCCCTAGTCGGGGAAGATCCCACACGCCGCGGAGCAATGAAGCCCATGCGCCACAACTACAGAGCCTGCGATCTAGAGCCCATGAGCCACAACTACTGAGCCCACGTGCCGCAAGTACTGAAGCCCATGTGCTAAAGGGCCCGAGTGCCGCAACCACTGAACCTGTGTGCTGCAGCTCCTGAAGTCTGCACACCTAGAGCCTGTGCTCTGCAACAAGAGAAGACACCGCAAATGAGAAGCCCATGCACCGCAACGAAGAGTAGCCCCCGCTCACCGCAACTAGAGACAGCCCGCACGCAGCAACGACAACCCAACGCAGCCAAAAATAAATTTTTAATAAATAAATTAATTTTAAAAAAGGAAAGACATGGCGACCTGCAGCTGATCCTGCCTTTATAACCCTTCCATGTGCCCCTGGGTCCCGCCCCCTGCAGCCCAACCTGCCAGGCAAGGTAGGTTTCAGGGAGGCAAGGGATGTGGGATGGACACTCACAGATGACACTGAGGGGCAGGGGCTCACTGAGCCTAGTGATGGCAGGGTTCTTGACCTCGTGCTGGTAAGGTCCTAAATCATTCCGGGTCACCTGGGGGATAGTCAGTCTCTGCTCGTCCAGGGACAGCTCCAGCTGCCCACTGCCCACCACAGGCTCCTTGCCAATGTACCACTGGAAGGTGGCGTCATTGCTTGGGGACTGGCAGCTCAGGGTCACAGAGTCCCGCAGCTCCAGGGGCGCCAAGGTGGAGGCTGTGATTGTAGGTGGGGCCAGCTTCTCTGTGAAGGGGGGATGGATAGAGAAGGAGAATTGAACCCCAGAAAAACCACTGTCCATCTCGGTGAACATGGCCACACTGACCTTCCCCCTCTGAGCCTCAGTCTCCTCCAAAGATAGGCGCCAGCCTCATGGGGCTGTTGTGAAGATGACATGAACTAACGTACGTGACACCCTTGGCCTGGGATCTGCAGAGAGTAACTGCCTAGCGTCGTCCTCTAGGTCCCTGCCCTTGGGCTAGGGATGGGGGAGGGGAAGGAGATATTGTACAGATGACCCCAGCAGACTAAGTCGTTTAGACTTACATGTGTAGCCTTTTTGCCAAATCTAGGCAGAGGCAGTGATGCTAGAAAATACCAAATGTTATGCAAAGTATTAGTCAATGTATAATGTTGGTTATTCATTTAATCTTTCACCTAACAAACACTTACTGGGCATCTGTTCTGAGCCACATTCTGTGCTGGGCAGTATTGGGGTCACAGTAGTGATCAAGTCTGTCCTAGCCCTGACCTCCCAGGGCTTCCCAGTTCTGAAGGGTGTAGTAAGCACTTAAAATATGAGCTATTTTTTAAAAAATTATCTAGAGGAAAGATGTCACTGGGAGCAGAGAACAAGGAGATTGAGTGTAATCTGCTGGGTCAGGGAACCACCATTAACTGATCCTTCCATCCATCCATCCATCCATCCATCCATCCATCCATCCATCCATCCTTCCATCCATCCATCCATCCATCCATCCATCCATCCATCCATCCATCCATCCATTTGTTACTTCATTTAACTAGGGTTTTCTGTACAGCAGGGATCAAGCCATTCCAGTCTGTGCCCTCATGGGACTCACAGTCCAGTGGGCCCGAGTGGGAAGAGCTAGGATGTGGAATTCCAGGGGATTTCGATAAACCAGAGGGGACACCTGACCCAGTTAGGGGATCAGAAAGGACTTCGGGGAGATGATATTTACATGAAAAGCTCCAGAGTGATGAGGGGGAGGAGATTATACGGGTGAAGGGAAGAAAGGATGACAGCAGAAGGCAGAGCTAAGTCCTACAAGGAAGCAGGTCTGACAGGAGGTTAGAGAGCTAGGGTCTGGGCACAGAGAATGGGGAAAGATGAGACTGAACAGGATGGTGGTGCTGGTGTGGCAGGCAGATGACCTGGGACTTCACCATGGAAGGAACCACATTCCACCAATCACTTCTCACCTCTAAAAACCAACCTCCGTTGGGAAAAAAACAGAGTGAAATACTTTAAATAGTTTATCTAAATGGCTGGAAGACTAAAGGACCTGAAGAGGAGAAGAAATATATTGGTGATGCCACATACAGTCCTTGAATAGCCAATATAAATTCTGTGAACTATTTCCTGCCACCCTCCAGATCTGTCTAGTGACTCCAAGTGATTTTGAGCTTCCAAGTTCAAGGTCACAGGAGGAATGCCTAACGATGGTCTAAGTTGGTTTTTGAAATGGGCAAGAATGTTCATAGCTGCATTATTCACAATAGCCAAAAGGCGGAAGCAACCCCCCTGTCCATTGATGAATGAATTGACAAACAAAGCGTGTTTTATATGTATAGTTAGCCCTTCATACCCACAGGTTCTGTATCCATGGATACAGAGGGCCAACTGTACTACACCATTTTATGTAAAGGACTTGAACATCCTCAGATTTTGGTATCTGCAGTGGGTCCTGGAACCAATCCCCATGAATACTGAGGAATGACTGTATAATGGAATACGGCCTTAAAGGGAAAGGAAATTCTGTCACATGTTACAACTTGGATGAACCTTGAAGACATCAGTCCCAAAAGGACAAATACTGTATGATTCCATTTATTTGAGGTACCTCAAATAATAAAGTAGCCAAAAATCATAGAAACAGAAAGTAGAAGGGTGGTTTCCAGGCGCTGGAGGAGGGAGAGGTTAGGGAGTTAGTGTTTAATGGGTACAGAGTTTCAACTTGTGCAAGATGAAATGAGTCCTGGAGATGGAGGGATGTTGATGCTGTACTTAATGCCACTGAACTGTACCCTTAAAAATGGTTAAGATGATGACTCTTATGTTATTTGTACTATTATCACAATTTTAAAATAAATAATAAGTGGGTAAAAAGAGTTTGCATCTCTTTATGGGGAAAAGAAGGAATCATCTAAGAGGAGGGCAGGACACTGGTGGGGTTGCTGCTATTGGGATCACCTGACCCAAGGTCTTTGGAATCCGTCCTTATGAGCTCAGAGTATGGGCTTTCCTGACCCCATCTACACAAACATAGCATTTCTAGGTCCAGGGAAGCAGCTTCTCCTTTTCCTCTATACAAGATTCTGTGCTTTTGTTGTTTTTGTATATAAAAATCAAGGCTAGGACAAAAGAGAGCCATCACTTTCAGCCTACTTTATCTCTTAATCAAGGAGAGGTTTCTATTTTCCATCCCCACTCTGAGAGAGATGGCTAGGTGTCCTCTAATATCCTTCTTCTGTAATAATAATACCCCAATTTTTAGCCAGGCACATGACCACCAGCATAAGGACTACATTTCCCAGCCTCCCTTGCAGCTATGTGTGGCCATGTGACTAACTTCTGGCCAATGAGGTGTGAGCAGAAGTGATGGGTATAATCGTTGACTCAGGTTCTTAAAGGAAGGGCACACACCCTTCCCTTCCTTCTTCCCCTTTCCCATGTTAGAATGGGGACATACCTATGTCCATATCAGCCATCTTGGTCCACGCAGACAAGGGCTACCCTCCAAGGGTGGTGGAGGATTTAGAAGGAGCTAGGCCTCTGACAATATAATGCAGTTATATCCACTCCAAAATTATTGTATCTGGACGAGGGGGAGAGAGAGAGAGGGAAACGTATTTTTTAAGACCCTTTTGTTTGAACCCTTGTCACAGCAGCCAAATATCCCCAGGAAATACACATATTGTCCTTAAGGCACTGGGGAGCCATGGAAGAGTTTTGAGTGGGGAAGGGACAGGGTCAGATCAGAGGCTGGGAAAAGCCCTCTGATTGTTGGGGAGCGTGTGTTTGCACTGAGCAAACACAGGCAAGTAGACATTCTATGTGGGGTGGCTCACATCCACCACAAACTTCTGTAGGGTGTAGGGGCCCATATCCGTGAGGCTGAGTGCAGTGATGTGCAAAGATCCATCTGGACTACCGTCTCCCGGCCTGTGTAGGCAGGGCCGAGGGTCAGGCCCCCGGGGATCACGCAGAAAGTTAAGATCTGCTGGGCCATCTCCGTGCCCCCTCCCCGAAGCCAGCTGAAGCACAGAAGCCTGTCTTTGGCCAAGACCTGAACAACCAGGGTGACATTGTCCCCTTCCAGCGGTTGAGACGGGACAAGTGTGATGGTCAGTCGGGCAGCCACTGGCATCACACAGAAGCCCAGGAGAGAGGCTGAGGGTGTGGGGAGAGAAAGACATCAGAAACACCAGGAAGGATCCCAGGAACAGCCCCGGCTCTCAGTCCCCGAACCTGTGCTTCTAGCTGTGTGACTATGACAGACACAGAAACGCGCTGGACAGGACCACTTCCAGGAGGGACTTGCCCCATGAATCAGCAGGTGGCCTCCAGCTGTCATCTCCTCCAAGGTCATGTCCTTCCCAGGGTGGCCTATATCTGGAGATTGAGCAAGGCTTGGCCATTTCACCCTGATACGGAACAACCCTGAGGGGACAAGACTCTCTCCTGAGCTCCCTGCTAAATGAGCTGAAGTTGTGTCAGGGCTGCATCACTGATCAATTTCTCTCTCTCTGCCCAGCCTTGCCTCCCCCTCCTTCCTTCCACAGGTATTGATTTCTAATAAACATCCCGCACCTGTGTCAGTTAACTAGGGCTGCTGTGACATAGTACCACAAACTGGGTGGCTTAAAACAACAGAAACGTACTGGCTCACGGTTCTGAAGGCCAGAAGTCCAAAACCAAGTCATGGACAGAGCCGTGCTCACTCAGAAACCTGGAGGATTGTTTCCTGCCTCTTCCAGCTTCTGGCAATCTCTGGCGCTCCTCACCTTGTCGGAGCGTCATTCCAATCCTCTGTCTTCATATGGCTGTGTCTTCTTATAAGGACACCAAGCACGTTGGAGCGAGGGGCCCACTCTCTTCCAGTATGACCTCATCGTTTTTTTTTTTATTTTTACTGGAGTTTGGTTGCTTTACAATGTTGTGTTAGCCTCCACTGCAGAACAGAATGAATCAGCCACATACATACGGATATCCCGTCCCTTTTGGACTTCCCTCCCATTTAGGTTACCACAGTGCATTAGGTAGAGGTCCCTGTGCTATACAGTATGCCCCCATCAGTTGTCTATTTTATACATAGTATCAATAATATGTATGTGTCAATCAGGGTCTCCCAATTCCTCCCACCCCACCCCTTTCCCTTTGGTATCCATACCTTTGTTCTCTACGTCTGTGCAGTATGACCTCATCTTAATTAATTATATCTGCAACAATTTTATTTCCAAATAAAGTCATATTCTGAGGTCCTAGGGGCTAGAACTTCAACATATCTTTTTTGGGGGGTAAGGACACTATTTGACTCATAACACCTCCCCCAACTCCATTTCAGAGTCTGCTTCTGAAAAACACAATCTGTGACAATGACTTCGGACAGGTGGCTTCACTGAGCTTCTGAGCCTCTGTTTTCTTAAAATAGAAGCAACACTGCCTTGAGGGTTCATGAGGATAGACATGTAAAATGCCCAGGACAGAGTCAGAAACACAGCAGTTAAATAAATGGGAGCTTTCAACTGTTATTCAATCAACAGTCATACCACAAACATTTGATGAGCACCTACCATGTGCCAGGACCACAGCTGGGCAATGGGATAAGATAATGAACTGTAAAATCAAAACCCTACCCTCACGGAGCCTGTGGATGGTCTAATGGAAAAATGGACATTAGCCATCCATCCATCCAAATAAATGTAATTTTTTTTTTTTCGGTACGCGGGCCTCTCACTGTTGTGGCCTCTCCCGTTGCGGAGCACAGGTTCTGGACGCGCAGGCTCAGCGGCCATGGCTTACGGGCCCAGCTGCTCCGTGGCATGTGGGATCTTCCCGGACCGGGGCAC